TAGGAATATTCCAAAGTTTCGTTGCAAAATGTTGTAAAATGCGGAAAATATAGCCTTGCGAAATTTGCAATTTTCAGTCATTTTAGATTACAAACGGGAAATTGACAGCCCCAAACCCTTCGAGGCTGTCAATTTCCGATTTGTAATCTAAAATGACTGAAAATTGCAAATTTCGCAAGGCTATATTTTCCGCATTTTACAACATTTTGCAACGAAACTTTGGAATATTACTAATTTTGTGATGCTCTTTCAAGCTGTAATGAAATTTTTGTTGAGATCAAAATTTAGTCTATTACGCAAATGGTCAATTGGAGGATTTGAAATGACATCTCATGCGAATAAATCACTACTTAATTCATTTGGATCCAGTCCAAGGACTGAATTAATTTTGATCCAGTTCTAGGACAGGATCAATGTACTTCATCAGGTATCCAGTATTATCATGTGAGCAAAATAAGGCAAAATGGTTGGCTAATTTACTCATGAATTATTAATGAGTTTGAGATTTATTCATATGAGATGTTATTTCAAATCCTCGCATTTTGATCCAGTGTGAAGAACATTTAAGCGGGTAGTACGGTTTTCCAAGCCTATCCCGAGTTATGAACGGTCAAAAACCGCAACCTTGTACAATAAGGCCACAAAATACTGTTATTTTAGCAGATTTAACCTTATGTAACTTAAAATCGGTGTCGAAAATCGTAGCAGCCGTTTAATTAAATGTCTTATATTTAGTTTTCGATCTTTCTGAATATATAGGTGATATTTGCTAAAAGTGACTTTATTATTTGACATGAAAACAAGACACAGGAGTTTTAGAGATTTTTTTATTGAATACAAGATGATAAGTAAAACTTTTGACATAAACGACAGGACTATTTTAACTTAATGTCACGTGATTTACGCTATCTTATATATATATATTGTTTCTATGGCAACGTAACGTCATACGTAGTACATTTCAATGCGCTTACAAAAACGAAATAAAAATCTTGTGAAATCATTAATCTATTTTACATAATGAACCCATAGTCTATCCATACTGATTCATTTATATAAATTGAAGCTACTCACATTATCAGAACAGTGGTAACTTGGCATGTGAGTATGTGCAGGCATAAATATCCTTCCAAAAAGTACTTAAAGGACATTGGCAATAAAAAGTTTAGTTCATTTGAAAGAACTCTTAAAACTATGTATTAAACTCTATTACAGATTGTTTATGTATTGCTTATTTTTCAAAATATTTCAACTGAAAAACGTGAGTTGTTCGCAGTCTTGGATTAAACGATTAATGTGGGTCCAAAACTTCGTTTGTGGTTGCTGTCAAAAATTTAGAAATGATTAAAAACATTTCAAACAATTTTGGATTGTTACTCGATCATTTTAGAGTAGTTTTATATGGTTAACCCAACTCCTGACGTCATCAAAACCATAGTTAATGAGGTCCAAGATGGCGGACAGCTCATTAATTTCAGTCTAAATATTTCGAGAACAAAGTAGGCCCAAATCGGTGATAGAGTTTAATATATAATTTAATTAAGAGTTCTTTTGAATAAGACAAACTAATTTTTTATTGCCAATGTTCTTTAATTAACCTTAGCTTTATAGAGCCTTTCAACAAAAGCCGTGGCGGCCATGTTGGTGTTCCAGACAAAAGAGTCTAATTAAAATTCTTTTGAATTAGCTTTTCTCGCGCCGCCATTTTTGGCCGGGTGGCATTTCAGCCGAAGTCTGCGAGATAAGTCCACAAAACAGCGACTTTTTAGAATTTTTTTGATTTTGTAAATGGTTAGTTAATTCTCAGCATTGGTTAATGAGAATTAGATGCCACCCAAAAAATGGCGGATATTTGTCATCGTGAGAAAGGCCAATGGACCATTTGCATTTTAGACTAAATTTTGATCTAGACAAAATTCCATCATAGCATGAAAGAGCATCACAAAATTAGTAATATTCCAAAGTTTCGTTGCGAAATGTTGTAAAATGCGGATAATATAGCCATGCGAAGTTTGCCGTTTTTCAGTCATTTTGTATTACGCACGGGAAATTGACAGCCCAATCGGGTGTTGGGGCATCAATTTTCCGTTTGCAATACAAAATGACTGAAAATTGCAAATTTCGCATGGCTATATTATCCGCATTTTACAACATTTCGCAACGAAACTTTGGAATATTACTAATTTTGTGATGCTCTTTCAAGCTGCGATGAAATTTTTGTCTAGATCAAAATTTAGTCTATAATGCAAATGGTCCATTGGAACACCAACATGGCGGCTGTGACGTCATGTGCAAACGCTCTATTGGTACGTGAAAAAAGTAAATGGATATTTATTTTTTAATTGATATCCGAGGTTGGGTTGACTTTATAATGGTTGGATCTGCTAAACTTTTACCAACAAGATCAAAACGATAGCAAAGTTCGGGTATACTTTTCAGAAGGCGTATTGTATATTTAACTTAATATAGCATTGGTTTATCATTGTTTTGAATAAGACACTGTTACATATACATTGTATAAATATCAACCGATCCCATCAATGGTATAGGATTTAATTTACCGTGGGCGTATGCATTGATCAGCTAACACATCGCCACCTCATGCAGGGGAGTTTAATTCGAACCAAACTGACTTCAACATATCTTTAAGTCACAATACTGCCATTTTGGTTTCGTCTTAGTGGTATAGCACCAAGGACGCTTTCGTTTTCCTTGCGGATTTCGGCAGTAGTTGTGGTACATGTAGTGATCGCGGTTTTTCTTTACCATTAAACCCATTTTGTAATCGCTATGGTAATTGTGCGTTACGACGGCGTTTCTGTGCGGATAATTGCTGTTCCACGATTGACAAGTCACGCCTTTTTCCGTGTAGCTCAGCATGCCGTTGTAATCTCGGCCGTCCTTGGTCTTGCTTTTGATGCATTTCGCTACAGAGAGAATAGAATATTACGTTTAGCCATTTATACTTTTTCATACCAATTATTGAAGATCAGGCTTTTAGCTGTCGAATGATACCTTTGTTGTATCATTGCGATAAAAAATAGCCAAATACGATCCGATTTAAAAATGCCGCTTTTTTGCAGATGGACATTTTTCGAGTTATACATCGGTAATTAAAAATTTCCTATATTTTAGTTTCAGACCGAACCAGGAGCGTGCAGCAGGCATTTAGCCGAAAAGGGCATCCAGGCGTCCTGGGACGCCCCACAACGAAAAATGGCCGCCTTTGAAGTCCAAACTCTGAGGGGAAAAGAGAAAGATATGTGGAAATTATGCAAATCTTACACCGAGGATAGCATCCTTTGTATACGCCTAGAGCTTGGCGCGAGGTATGTTGAACATGGCAACTGAATGAATGAACATAATTTTTAATGATGATACCAACTTCACGAGTAGTGGTTTACAGAGGGATCCTCGGAAACTGGTCATTCTATGCTAATAAAGATTGAGTCACGATCTTTCTCATCAGCCGAAATACAATATTTTAGAACTGAAAATACGCGGAGTGATTAGAACTAGAGAATGCTTATGATTTATATGTGGTTTACAGGTATAAACTATAATAATCTGGCCGTGACTCTATTTTTACAACCATTACGACAATATGGATGCCAGGCTGAAACCTGATCAACTCTCAAGCAACTCTTCAATTTCTTGGGACACCCTGTTTAGTACAAGTCCATAAGTCGTGATAAGATGTAACCCTCACCTGATGTAGGTGTTGCTATCTTGTTACAGTTGTACATAGCGTTGATTTGAGCGACATCGATATCAGACAAACGTTTCCTCTGCCCCATGTTGACATGCCCCAAGCTGACATTCCCCAAGCCTGGCCGCCTGCGAACGCGTATAGTGTCTTTGCCGTTGCTGGTGAAAAATTTTCTGCCGTAATGCATTATTGACTCATAGTCGTAGGCATATCCCATACTGTCCATCATATTCGCGTCCATCTTATCTGAAAATAATATAAGTGAGTTTCAGTTAAGTGTTTTATATCGTAGAGATCAACTTGAAATATATGAGCAAATTTGGGCAAGGTTTAATCTAGTACGGGGACAAGAAACAGCCTAAATCTCAGAGTTTTTATTTTTATAATTTAAATTTTAAGATTTTTATAGCATCTCACTCGAATGAATATTTTTTAAAAATTTTAATTTAAATTTTAAGATTTTTATGGCATCTCACTCGAATTAATATTTTTTTAAAATTTTTATAATTTAAATTTTAAGATTTTTATAGCATCTCACTCGAACGAATATTTTTTAAAAATTTTAATTTAAATTTTAAGATTTTTATAGCATCTCACTCGAATTAATATTTTTTTTAAATTTTTACAATTTAAATTTTAAGATTTTTATAGCATCTCACTCGAATGAAAAATATTTGATGGGTATTGTTGAATGAAATTTGTCGAGTAGAAATTTATATACATTTATTACATCTAACCAGGAACAGAAGCGAAAAATGCAACTTTATGTCCCTTGCAGGAATTGAACTTGCACTTACTGAATTGTTTATCGTAGTCCGATTCGATGTTTTTCCAGACAACTCTCACGTACGAATCGCGGTCACTTCTGCTCTGTTCGTGCCAGAATCCAAGAGCGTGCCCAATTTCGTGAATAATCGTGCCAACATGTTCACATCCTTTGCCCACTCCTATCTCCTGCTTGCCGCCTTTCCGCCCCACCGTAGACCAACACCTGAAACACAATATTGAATTTTACATGAAGTGTTTGGTATCGCATTGCATTGGCAGTACACAATAGGGGGTGCCTTTGGCTGTCATCAGTGGTCGTCCCTCTTTACTGTTAAATTTATTATTATATTGAGTTTCTCACTTATTGGTGAGCGGATTTCCCAACAGGCTATTGCCCAATTGATAGGGGATCCAAGGTACCTACGATTATAACGTCCTTATCTGAGAAGACACGAAAGTCTAACCATTTACTGATCGGTCAATGTAAAGGTAGCACTTTCTCAGTTATTTTAAGACCTTGAGTAGAGGTCCGACCAAGGATTGAACCCGGCTCTCCCAGGTTGAAAGGCAAATTGAACCATTCCCCAATTAACCAAAATTTTGAACTCAACAAGTCTAGTCAAAAATTTCATCACAGCTTGAAAGAGCATCACAAAATTAGTAATATTCCAAAGTTTCGTTGCAAAATGTTGTAAAATGCGGATAATATAGCCTTGCGAAGTTTGCAAGTTTGTCATTTTAGATTACAAACGGGAAATGGTTACCACTTCTGTGCGTAATACAAAATGACTGAAAATTACAAATTTCGCAAGGCTATATTATCCGTATTTTATAGCATTTTGCAACGAAACTTTGGAATATTACTAATTTTGTGATGCTCTTTCAAGCTGTGATGAAATTTTTGTTTAGGTTAGTTAAGATCAAAATTTTGGAAAAGTGGTAACCATTTCCCATTTGTAATCTAAAATGACTGAAAATTGAAAATTTCGCAAGGCTATATTATCCACATTTTACAACATTTCGCAACAAAACTTTGGAATATTACTAATTTTGTGACGCTCTTTCAAGTTGTGATGAAATTTTTGTTTAGGCTAGTTAAGATCAAAATTTTGCAAAAGTGGTAACCATTTCCCGTTTGTAATCTAAAATGACTGAAAATTGCAAACTTCGCAAGGCTATATTATCCGCATTTTACAACATTTTGCAACGAAACTTTGGAATATTACTAATTTTGTGATGCTCTTTCAAGCTGTGATGAAATTTTTGTTTAGGCTAGTTAAGATCAAAATTTTGCAAAAGTGGTAACCATTTTCCGTTTGTAATCTAAAATGACTGAAAATTGCAAACTTCGCAAGGCTATATTATCCACATTCTCCAACATTTCGCAACGAAACTTTGGAATATTACTAATTTGGTGATGCTCTTTCATGCTATGATGGAATTTTGTCTAGACCTTCTTGAGATCAAAATTTTGGTTAATTGGGGATTGGTCCATTAATACAAATTTCACATACCCCTTATATCCATGTAAAATCAAGTCCTCACTCCCCCAGCTAAATGTTGAGGTTGTGTCATGGTACCAAAAGTTGTATCGGCGTTTTTTACAACATTGAACTGGGGGAGAGCCGGAGCGGGGGTCGGACAAAATTTGTTTTTGTCAATGTGCATTAGCTTGACACATGCAATGAGAGGTCTTATGTATGCATGTGTTATTTTCAATGGAAGCCGGGCCTAGAGTTAGTTTATGAGGCTAGATCTCCCCTGATTAGAGCGTAGTTGTAAACACAAGCGACTGGGATGAGGGTTCCAAACCTCGCTCGCATTTGAAGTGATATAATTGCATGGGATTTTTCTCAACTCCCAAGCGAGAACAAGAGTTGCATGACAGGGTTCGTAGCGGTCTTTGAAATCCTTGAAAGTCTTTAAATTTGAATGCAGGTTTTGAGGTCTTTGAAAAGTCTTTGAATTGTGTGAAAAAGCGAAGAAAGTCTTTCAATTCTTTAGTGATTATTTGACTATTATACAATTTCCTAGCTAATAAAACAGATTGATTGAAGCAAGATTTTCGCAAATATCGACGAAAAAGTGCATTTTAGGATGTGATTTGACGGGACTAATTACCGGGTAAAAATGGTGCTTATATACATCGACACCTGATTGCTCTCAAAGGTCTTTGAAAATTTGAAAAGTCTTTGACAATAAGGCAGAAAAAATCTTTGAAAGTCTTTGAATTTTTTTGGTCTTGGAGACTACGAACCCTGCACGAGAGTTGACTGGATATTACTCGTCAAACGAGCAAAAACTCTCATCAACTTCATCAAAATTTGGTGAGAGTTGATGATAGTGGATTCTAAGATTTGGCTGCTTGCAGACTCATGTCATACATACATACATACATACATACATGTCTTGTGTGTGAATTAGTTTTTAAGGCTCAAAACCAATTTGCTCGTTAGAGGATCTGTAAGCCTCGGGGAGGTTTTATCGATCCGATTTATTGACACAAATAAACAAATATTTCTTTTTAATGTAATCTACAGTGCATTTCCAGGCTTCCTGATGCAAACAAGCTGTCTAAATATATGCACACATATGTACATAGCTGTCTATGTATAGCACTAAAACACACATTGATCAAAACAACATCTATAGACTATAATCCTTTCAGTACTGCAATGAATGCCTAATTTGTGAGGCAGGAATAGATTATATATGGGTGTCTTTCCAAACGATGCATGCATAGGGACCGTTCAAATATACCGCTAGAGATTTAGTCGGTCCGAAATCCATTTAGAGCTGTATTGGGTCAAGTGTGGTCTATCGTTCTCCCCCATTTTGATTATGTAATTCTATGTGGGATAATTGAAGAAAAGGTTTACGGGATAAGCTACAAAAATGACAAAATCGAGCAGCTCGAATAATTACTAGGAGCAACTATGAAATACGCTCTTCCCAAATTTTGAACTTAAATTGGCCGACATTACTCATTAGAGTCTGGTTTCCATATGGTCGCAACGGTCGTAAAGATAGAGTCACGATGTTTCTCAACGGCCTGATTATAATAGTTTTTACCTGTAAACCACATATAAATCATAAGTATTTCCTAGTTATAATCACTCTGCCTATTATCAGTGTTAAACTGTTTAGCTATTTGAGAGATCGTGACTCAATCTTTATACGACCGTTACGACCATATGAAAATCAGGCGATAGAAAGATAGGCGAATGAAACAAAAATCTTGTCTAATGTTCAAAATGTTCCACAAATTAGGCCCATCTTATCTTTCACGGCCATTTAATCGAGTGAACTTAATTCACAGTCATGATACACGAGGGCATGACAACAATTTTATTGTCCTTAAATTAAACCAAACACCAATTTTTTTGAAAAATGGTCTCGAATATAATGGAGCAGTTGTAAGGAATTCAATACCAATTAGCCTTTTTAGAACAGGGATATAGTAAGCAGTGAAAATGAAACTTTCTATAACTATAGTTGTAAGTATAATCATTACAAATCGATTTACAGGTAAATATTAGAAAAATTATTTTCACATCGCTTAGATTTTTCACGTTGTTTATGAAATAGTGCCCAAAAATGGCGGTTTTAGACTTTCGCGAGAAAGGCTAATTAAAATTAGGAATTCCGTCTCACTAAAAACATTCAAAAATAAACTGTGGATGATAATTTTTTTATGTATATAGCTTTAATTTCTCTTTGAAAAACTCGCGATCGTGCATGTTTTATCCAAATTGCACTCGAAACCATACTATTACCTATACGAACCAGAGAAATATTAACCAGACTATAAGATGATTTGAAATCAAGGCCAGATTTTGGTGGAAATAGTGGGCGAGGTGGAAACAAATTAGGGGAGGTGCAGCGGTCTAGCTCACGACCTCCTTGGAAAGTTAGAGCTTAGAACGGCGGGCCAATGTCAACGACGTGACGTATGCATGTAGTGTACATATGTATCAGTGTATTAATGAATTATGACTGTATACAACTCATCCAATTTTGCCCTTCATTACAATTACTACGACGTTTCTTTCAAAACATTGCATTGAGTTGAAAAACGTTCTTACGAAGTGTCGAAGTGCTAAGCAACCAAAAAATGTCAAATTTTCACTTTGAACTGTCATTGAAACTTTCCCAAGGGGGGAGGTGCATGACTTTTCAGAGGAGGTGCAAGAATTCTCAGGGGAGGTGCAAAACGATCTCGGGAGAGGTGCGCATCTCCCCACACCTCCCCTCAAAATCCGGTCATGTTTGAAATTCATTTAAGAGACAGGGTCATGACCCCATTTACTAAAAAAAACGAGAACGCGCGCGTGTCTCCGACAACTTAATTATCTCGATTTTTTATCTCTAAAATTGTTCTGTAGACTATACATCTCTAGTATTTCCGTATTGCAATTAAAATTCCAATCCCAACTTAAGTATCTCAAGGGTTTTGTTTTGGTTACATTTTAATTTTTAATTGCTCTATTTTAGATCTTATCATGTTGGGAAAATTTCTGAAACACGGCGGTGATTGAAATTTGAAACCGAGGAATTTTGCATGCCCTTCGTCAAATGAGGTATGTTTAAAAAAATGCGTGTTCTTTTTTTAATATTATGTTTGCTGACAAATGGAAACATTTTTTTATATACGGTGTTAATCTGCTAGGGAGTTTGGAGGAATGCTCACGACATATTAAAAACTCAGTCTTAACTGAAATTCGCCGCCTTTGAAAGCAAAATTCCAACTATGGTCTCAGGGCTGCTTTCCAGTTAAGGTGGCTCGATACAGTTTTCAAAAATTCAGGTGTTTAACAGTTTGACATGTTCAAACTACGCATTTCTAGGATTTATTCAGCAGATGTTGGTGTTTTTTATATATTTTGATAACTCTACTTTCAAATTATATTAGTTTTAGTAACAGATAGCTCGTTGCTATGACGACATACGTGTACGAAATTCACTCCAAAATGGCCTATCGTTTCGTATAGTTGGAAAAAAAGCATGGTGACCCTCAATTTTTTTTCTTGCATTGTTTTACTTGGACGAAAAGCTAACAATTAGCAAAATATAAAAAAATTCTGTAATGCCATTTTTTTGGAAAATGCAAAAATGTCATATTCTTCGGTAAAATTTTTTTGGCATTACAGAATTTTTTTATTTTTTGTATAATGAAAGTTTTAGCGGTGCAATACAGCATGCAAAATTTGAAAATAGGTCACCAGGCAAA